TCAGATTCTCAGCGAGGAAGCCATGTGTTTTTATCATCAGATGTTCTCAGACCGAAGGTCCCTTGAGAAGACCCGCCGCTCCTCCTACTCTCCGGGAGCCCTCTCCTCCGCAAAAACCTGTTCCTCCTTCGTCTCCTTCTTCCTCTCCTCCGCCTCCGCCGCCGCTACCGGTGGCTGGTGATGGTAAGAGTGTAATTACGGTGGAGTTTCAGAGGCAGAAGGCCAAAGAGCTTCAAGATTATTTCAAGCAGAAGAAACTTGAAGCTGCTGGTCAAGGTCCCTTTTTTGGTTTCCAACCCAAGAACGAGATCTCCAATGGAAGGTAAATTTACTTCCTTTACTCTTAACTATCATCGCAAGTCTAGAATTTGATTGCTGGGTCCTAATTGCCTTAAGTTTCACATTTGATGACTTCTATATTGATTGTTCTGCTGATTTGCCTTTGTGTAATTGGGAATTTCATGGGAAACTCAGGCACACACAAGAACTGTGGTTGTTTAAGAATTAGACATGAGAGATTTGTCTTTGTCTGTGTCTGCAGGTGGGCTATGTTTGGTTTTGCGGTTGGGATGCTTACAGAGTATGCAACAGGCTCAGATCTTGTCGACCAAGTTAAGATTCTTCTCTCCAATTTCGGCATTATAGACTTGGAATAATAAGAGTGTTGTTATACAGATATAGACCCACCTTCTCTCTGATTCCTTTGGTTTCTCTATGTTCAATCTTCATCTTCTTGTTTATTCTTCTTCCTGTATATGCATCTATAAGATCTTCAAATACAGGGCCTTTTGTGTATTCAACCACTTTATCTTCAAATAGTATAATATGATGATTTGTGTACCGATTCTAAAAAATGTATCACAAGGTTTCTTTCTTAGTACATGAAAAAGTATCCTCGTTCAGTATTTTCTCCACCAAAGAAATCTCAGTTCTATTAAGGAATCTGTGCAATCTCAAGAAGAATCTTGTGGAGAGATTGAGGCTTTGAGAAGAAAGGACAGTGATCACTTCCTTTGATCTTGAAGACTCCTTCGGGGCTGTTCTCTCTCACCACTTTCTCTTGAATGTCTGGTGAAAGCGCACGGTCATCCAGTGTCTGCACATAGAATCTCCTTCCTTTCCCGTATCTCTCTGAAGTCAGCGACACCTTATCCATCATTGGTCCAAGCGGTACAGGTCGCATTGAGATCATCGCCAATGCTATGTCCTGAAAAGCCATACACCAGAATCACTCAAAAAGGTTGCAGACTTTGGCCAGTGATTTCCAAATTCAAATTAACGCTAGTAAAAATGCTGTGTAAGATCAAGAATTAGCGTTTTGGAGTGTACCTTGTTGGGTGATTGATTGAAATACAAGCCTTTCATGTGTTGCTTTTCGAACATGAATCCCGTAGGAGGCTTGTCTTTTCCGTTCCCATAGATCAAGAACTGTGACTCTGTCATGAATTGCTCTGCGGAACCAAGCTGCAGCAATGTAGATGGATTCTCACAAATGTGAGTACAAAAAACAGAAACAAAGGCTACATAGCATTTGCCCTAACGCTTGACTTATGAACCAGAAGAGTGTTTATTATTTACCTCTTCAGAGAAAACATCAAAAGGTCTTTGGCCATCAGAAAGCATTGTTGCACAGACAAATATAGCTTTTGAAATCTTCTCTGGAAATCGCTCTAACGCATATGAAATGGACGCACCTCCAGTACTATGACCGACCAGAATAACCTGCATAAAACAACATATCCGTATCTCATTGCCCCGTTATGCATATTCTTCCAATCAAATGGCTTCGAATATTCCTCCAAACAAAGACAGAAAAATCCTAACCTTTTCTTCTTCAGGGAGATTTCCGAGGTGCTCGATCAATGGTTTTGAGTATTCCTCCAAGGTAGAGACGGTGTTAATGTCTGTCATATTAAAACCAGATCCAGTGAGGTCGATCGTGGTAGGAGACAGTCCAGACTCTTCCAATGAAGCAACAATTTTGTACCAACACCATGCCCCAAACCCTTCACCGTGCACCAAAACAAATTTCTTCACAATCAAGCTCTCTGAAAAATCAGGTACCTGAAGAAGAAAAACAGATCCTTTATCCAAAATTAAGCTTCTACACACATTCCTTGCTCTAACATCTTAAAAACTAGTTAAGATCAATAGCAACATCAACTTATAAAGCAATGAAAATGAGTAAAGAAGATTCACTTTCGAACAAAGTTATGCAATTTTCAAATCTCTCAGAAAACCAAGAGCTTCTTTTCTCACTCATTTCTTCTATGTTCTAGTCATAGCAGCAAGTTCTTGCAATCAATAGCAGCAAATTCTTACTAAACTTTTAGAAACAAGAGGAGAGACAAAAGTTCTTCAGACATAACAAAGTTTATTCATCTGGTCCCAACTCAGTGTCAGTATCAGAGTTTTAGAACATTTCTTTTCTGAACAAAGTTAACATTTCCAACATTTTATAACATCTCTGTTTCCTAATTTTAACAAAGAATCTTCTCTTGTCTCCACTTTTGTTATGACCTTTTCCTCTCATATATATACAGATAAAAGTCCCCAACAACAATCATTAAAACCAGAAAAGGTGAAGACCCAGTCAGTCGAAATAATCATTATATATCATATTATAAAAAAGGATTGAGATTGAGTACAAAAGCTTTGAACTTTTCCTACAAAAAGAAAACGGTTTGTGTAAGAGTGTGAGAGAGATTGAGTAGTGACCTGTTTGCCGTTTGAAAACGGGTCAGAGAGAGTCCTCTGTTTCCTTGTGCTAGTAGAACCGACCCGTCTAGACATGGATCCATCGAATCTCTGAGAAATCTGAGCTTGATGAATCGCCATGGATAAAGCTCGTCGATGCAACATCTCTTCATCAGCAAGTAATTTTCTCTGTGATCTATTCATTCTCTTGCTTTTAGATCCATCTTTGTTGTCTTTCTTCATCATGGAGATAAATTTGTTACCCATCTTTACAAAATCCAAGAATTCAAAGCTGATTTTACCAAAGGAAGGAAATTTTAAGGAAATTCTCGAGAAAATGGCATGTTTCCGAGAAAAGTCAAAGAGCTTCCTTCTTCTTGACCTAAGATGGGATCAGTATGGGCTCTTATTAC